AAGAAGGAACAAACAAACTCCCACGCACGCCTGATGAAGAGAAAAAGGCAGACGAAGATTTTGAGTTGCTTCCTACAACTTGACAAAAGCTCTGTAAAATTGCTGGTTCTGACTGAAAATGGGGGGACGGGCGCCAATCAATTCATCAGCCTAACTGCCTGACCTAGTCAGTCCTAAGGGCTCTATCTTGTCCCGCTGTCTCCGGCCCGGATACTAAACGAACGCAATATTAACTCAATTCTTCCCAAACCCTGTATTCCTATACCAAAACTTTCTTGATTCAACAGTGATTGAGAAGGTAGAAGCTTCAATCCAATATGAAGGGTGTAAATACCGAGGATCATCTCGCAGAATCTTACGTCACATATAATCAAAAATGAATGAATCGAGTTAAATGCATAAAATCTTCATTACAATTATAACTGCGTGCATTTGCCTAGGATTTACCTACAATGAGTGTGAGTCAAATTTAGATTGCTGCAAACATACTCTCAAGCCCAGCTAGTCTCTGTGGTAGGCTGCACAGAATGAAAGCTGTTATGAGGAAACACATCTTCCTTATTGTTTTGACTTCAATTTCAAATGTCATTCTTGTTTTCCTTCTGCATCATAATTGCTCTAGTTGAAACAAAGATATCTCAAGACCATGGAAACAGTAAGACTGAGCTCTCTAACGAGATTCGGAAATCAAAGATATGGTATGGCTAATGGCACTAAGGTATGTCTTTATTTAAAGCAAAAGTGTTATCAGATTTAAAAGATGTGTGAAGTGCGTTAAGTAACCAGACGACTTCTTTGTAATTTTCTACATATAGAGAATATCAACACATTCACAGGTTTCCTGCCTCCCCTCCCTCCACCTGAATGGTTGTCAAGTTTACACTTTAGGAACGAATAATCATGCAAGTGATCCTGTAGTTGCTAAGAAAGGTTGATAGGGATAAAAATGAAGTTGTATCTCATATTGAGATATCTCGTGAGAGATAACAGACGAAGGAGGGGGGGATTAACATCAGGTAGTGTTTATTCCCACAGTAACCAGCCTTACTTCTCTTGAAAAAAATTTAGGAAGAGTCGGTGGAAATCTTTTTTTTCTTCCTTAATTCATGTCCCAAATGAGGACTTGAAATTTCTTATAAAAATTGTGTACTCGTGTGTTTCCCTCTTTAAATAATTATTATTGTTCATTTATTTTCGCATCTTTCTTTGTTCACAATCTATTTTTTATACGCAGACAGATAGCAAACCTAAATCAAGAGTTCACGCGTTTGAAATTTAAGAACAAGGATCTTCTGTCGCGAGAAATGTCTCATAAGTCATTTATGGCGATGTTACAATTGGCTATTCAGACTTTGGCGGACTAAGGGATTCACTTAGATATAAGTTTTAATTACAAATAACCTGCGCGCGTTTAAATATTTTACAAAACTTTTTCTTGGAAACCCAGTGTTGTTAGAATAGTAATGCTTGGTTTGACACGGAAAAGAAAGTTTTAAAAAATTAGCCCTTGAATATCACAAAAGTGCAAAAACAAATGATACTCCACTCAAAACACCCAATAAAATGCCGCCCTAATGTTCAAGCAGGGATTACTAGGCCATGTTTCAAATAAACGTTAGGAGTGTAACCTATTCCAAGCGCTCAGTTGGTAAAACGGAGAAAAGTAAAAAACGAAATAGAAAAATATTAGCGGAGGAGTGATTTACGAGAGGTTTGGGCCGGGTCTATTCAGTATACGACCCGACTCAAGCCTCCCTCGCTTTTTTTTTTCACTCCTCCGCTTCTATAGCGCCGTTTACGATAGCGCTGTTTACTATCGCACTGTTTACTATCGTGCTGTTTACTAACGCGCTGTTTACTATCGCGCTAACTATCGTACGACGGTAGCTGAAACGTCTGGGTACGAGACAAGGGATAGACTACCGGCAGCGTTTTATTAAGAAAAACGGTTTTCCTCTCAAATTTCCATTTCATCGAAGAACTGCATAAAGTACAAAGCTAACCAAGTACCAATAATTGCTGCTTGTGTTTTCTTGTGGTTTATCCTTTAACACGTAAGAATGACTATCGTGTAATTTTTCCATACAGTATTGGGGCTGAATCATGCTCTAAGGTCATGGAGAGACTTTCTTGATTGTTAACCAAATTCTCCTAATTCTCCAAAATCATAGGGAATGTACTGGGAACTGTTTGGAGAATGAGCGTACTGATATTAGGAAATGAAGGGTTGTGTTGATTAAAATTAAAAGAATTTGTCTTTTATATCACGATCTCCCGATCTACCCGCTATTTACTGTTAAAAACCATAAACACAAAATCTTACACACACAAAAAAAGAGTTGTGACGCAATTATTTATAAAAATAAATATATTTATTACACACACGTGCACTCTGATATTATAAAATACAGGTGAAAATCGTCGATTCGGGAAAGTACAAAATTGCAAATACAAAAATTCATAATTCAAATAAGTTATATTAAATAACACTCATAAAAAGTATGTGCTACTGGTCTAAAATATTTACACGACACATAAGCATTAATAAATAGAACTTGTTGTGGGTAGCTGTGCTTTTTACAACCTAGTATTCAGCTTTACAAATCTCACGCACAGATATACAAGTTTCCTTAAATAATGCAAACAATTTCAAATGTATTATTGAACAATTCTTTCCTATTCAGACTTGAAGCCATTCTGAAGTTCTGCATGAACCGTTTTAGACCTTCCATGTCCACAAATATGTCCCCATGTTACAATTCTCTCATTCATATTCTTGTAAATTAATGATGACTAGATACTATATTAGGATAACACCTTCCTTTACTGAGGAAAGTTTGCGAGGTGCATCAGCAAAAATGTTTTCCCCTCCTCTCGTATGCACCAGCTCCAAAACACGCGTGAAAGATTAAAAGACGTTCAAGGCTTAGATGTCCATATAGACTAAAAGAAATCTCAAACAATCAGGAAAATGTCTGTGCATTCGTAAATTTCTTGTATAAAGCAAAATAATACAATAAAACACAGATAAATAAATTCGTTTGGTAGGAACGTACACAGAAATCTTATTATTCCAATAATAACTCCTTAAAATTTTCCTCCTTAAAAATTATTGCTGTTTTCTTTCTATTAGTACATCTATCAATTATTAGTAAATGTGCATAATCTATCGCGTCAATGATCATCTTCTTTTTCTAATTTAACGTTAAATTGTCATTTACAGACAGTTGCATGACTAAATAATCTTTCCAATGATAAAAAGATTGGTGAAATGCCGGAAGATGGCATCCTATGAGCGGACTGCTTGGGTTTCACTTTGGTACGCTTTTAAAACTTTGCTCTGTGATTGGTCCAGAAAACTCCCGCCATACTCTCAACCAACCAGATACAGAACTAAACACATTCGCGACTTAATCATTAGCCTTTTTCCCGCGCTTCAACAGTCTGTTTGTTTTCACTTTGAGCTCTCATTGGCTAAAAATTATGTTAACCTTTACTCTGATTGGTTTCTGCGATGGCTTTGGTTCTGGTTTTTTAACACTTTGTTTAAAACTGCTATGAAGACAAATCGGGCAAAACCAGTGCAATCCCAGATTGCTCCCAACACTCAGTTGAAAAGTGCTCTTTCAATTGACTACCAAAACTAGTTTCCGCCTGTTTCAATTTCATCGTAGTCCCCTTCTACCTGGGCGCTAGCGTCTGAATTGACGTATTCATAATCGTTATCTGGAGGCTGCAAAACCAAACAAAAGAAACCACGTCTTACTTCAGTGAATATGTTTTTATCGAATAATCCGGCGAACTTAAAGAGAGATTGAGGTCAAAGCCACGTGTCACTTGACCGGGTCAGAAGCAAGTAAGCAGCTAAATAAGGATCTGAAAAAATAAAAGATACTCACACCAATGTGAATACGCTCCCCCAAAGGTTGAAAGTTTGGTGTATGCCTTCCTGCTTCCCCACATCGCCATTTCCTGAACAATTAAGAAATAAAGTATTAAGAAAGGACAAAGGGAATAATTTGCATATTTACATGAACAAATTGAGACAAACTGGGTCGAAAGACAACGTGGTGTTTGGAGTTCATAAATTGGCGAAGGACACTGAAACAATATCCTGTGGTTAACAACCACCATATCCTTCGAACGGCACTTTGGTATACTCTCACTAACAGACGGAAATGTTATAATTTGGTGAAAATTTAATGCTCGCATACAGTTAGCAAGCGATCAGGCCCTCACCGTGCGCACTGCAGTGGAAGAGATTCAAGAGAAGTCAAGGAGAGGTCTCCCCTTGCAGACCTCTTGCGGCTCGCGTTGCTCGAGGCGGGGCGTATAATGAAGGCGTGGTCGCAGGCTATGTTCAAGCTCAATTTGCTAGTTTTAGCCAAATTAAACATACCACATTTTAACGTCATCTGTGATCTATTGGGGAGTTTTATATCCACGTTTTTTTATAAATACATGTGACCGCAAACGTCTAGGAGTCACGTGACCAGACTCCAGCGGTCACATGCGCCGTTTGCCGTCCACGTTTGAACTTCGGGCGGGGCAGTTACAGGTACTTGAACTTCATCGACGTTTTTTCTCTTCCTGTTCGAAAGTTCTCACATATGTCCTATAAATATATGTGAGGTGAGGTCTTTCCTTTATTACCAATCCGTTTGGGACGCCACAAAACCAATCTTTTAGCTACATTTTGTGTATAAAATGAAGGACCTCCATCTTTGGGTCATTCAAGATGGAGGTGAACATATTGATTTTTTTCAGTTGAAAGCCGACGTCGATCTAAAAAGCTGAAAGTCACGGAAATTCTAACTTCTAACCACAAACTGCTGACCGCGGTTTGACGTTGCAGTAAACACACCAAACGTGGATCTAAAACTCTTTATCATTAAACAGACACACAGTACCGTGGAATCTATTTGTTAGATTGAAGGGCCTTCAATAACGCAGTAAAACCTGGGCAAGTGATGGTGGTACATATATATTGACAAACATTTTGCGTACCTGAATAAGTATACAAGACATAGAACTGCTACGAATACCATGACCGCTGAAATGGACAGCAAGACTATCTGTATAGTACTCAGTTTCTTTTGATAGTTTGGTTGTGTTTCTTTCTCTAAACAAAGCGATAACACTGTAAGTACGTGCTTCAAGAAATTTTTTCTGACCAACAGCCTGTACAATTTAAAAGAAAACAAAACAAAGCAGTGCACTTGGAGACAATATGGTCCTAAATTTCTACGATAGAAGTGCGTGCAATTATAAAGTCGTAAATAAAAAGTAAACATGGACTATGCGTGGTTTTGGAGGGTAACTAAAGCGAGAACACCAGAGAAAACTGGAAGCTAAAATTTAAAGAGGTAGGTAAAAAATCAACAACAGATAACCCCTGGAAAACGGTGAAAAATATTGGGAAATATAAATTTTTCCTTGGTCCAATTATTCAGAGAAACTGAGGAAAGAATAGTAAATTAAAAGATTATATAAGATAAAACAGACGAAAACAAACAAAAATAAATGGTACAAGAACACATTTATGAACGGTTGGTTTTCGAGAATGCTGGTTAAACTGTACAATACCTTAACGTGAAGCTAAAATATTACTTTTAAACTCTTAGACTTCATGCAGGTCTATAGGCGTCTCACACATTCAATATTTCCCCTATCCTTCCCACTCACCTTGCACTTCTTTGATGATGTACGATTCACCAGTGTTACTGCACTTTTTTTCTTTGTTACACATCTTCAGGTAAACGTTATATTTGGTCCGAGAGTTTAGTTTCGGTAGAGTGGTCTTGTTCGAAGTGGCATCTATGCTGTACTCCAAAGTTTGAGCTTGTCCCTTGCCAACGTTGTGGGGCTTACAAAAAACCATGTATTTACTGGGAGTACCACGCCATGAAGAAATGTCTGCCAACTGAAAAGAACAGTGGAAGATTCCTATGTTATACTTTTTTCTTCATCCATGCATGACAGTCCCTTCCTGCCTCGAGAGAGTATGCTTCTTTCTCGGGGGAGGAAAAGAGAGGACCTGAGAATGAGGTTAAGATGTTTGGAGTAATCTCTTTTGCTTAGATTGATCGCGATGTTAAGCTAAGCGCGCTTTGATTGGTCAAGAAATGACAATTGATCGCACTCGGCATACAGCACAACTGATGAATGAGGTTTTCTGCAATTTCTTTAATTGGAACCCGTCTGCAATGAACATTTCATTATGTCTAAATATGGTCTATTTCGTTTGACTGTGAGCAGGTTCCTTTACGAGAATGAAAAATAAACTGCAAAATGTTTAGTTCACAACATATGACTTCGTAGCCCAGTTGGTAGTGACGCCTTCAAATGTATCGAGTATCTTAGAGGCACGGGTTCGATTCCAGCTCAAGTCTGAAGGTTCATCAGCACACTGGCGAGGATATTTATTTTCTTTACATTGATATATAACATTTCGACATCCGGCGGTCAAAATATTTAAATAAATCGTGAACAACTAAAGTTAAAGTTGTATTTTGTCGGTAATGTTCGAGAGCAAGTTTCACTTGTGTTTACCTTCCATTCTACAGTTACATTTCTGAGGCCTGAATTACCAGGGAAGATGTCTGAACGATCCCTTACCACTACAGGCGGATTGACTGGAACTGCAATCGATTTAAAATATATATAATGTGTATGATTTAAGTCAGTTTCACAAAGGAGGATGCTCAGGCCTACATTAGTTCAGCTTTATTATCTC